TGAACGCTATGAGATCTGGATTGGTGGTTATAGGAGCTTTAGGTTTCAGATACTTGACTCTTCACCTCGGTCTCAAGCCCTTCCTCCAACGAGCAGAGGCGCAACAACACCATGCTTCTTCCCGATCCCTCAAACTCAGACCAATCTAACCTGTGATTCCCCCCACCTTAAACTTCATTACTCTCTATCCTTATGGGACTTTTCCTCTGATCTGCTTGTTAAACTTCTCCGATTTGTTAATGTAGTAATGCTTGTATTAAAAAAAATGCTAGGTTCAAACTTCGGAGCACAGTTCTTGACAACTAGTCTACTACACTACGATGACTACAATATATTGTACACAACTATGTTTTACTGATGAGCATTCTACCGACACTAATAGCTATAAAACTAAGACTCATGTCAATGGCAGTCTAAACAATGACAAGCATTGATAGCTTTAGTTTACACCTAAAAATGATGTAAATTTGTTCCACATTCCAACTAAGATTAACACAACTCAGGGGTATTGACAGCAGCTAACTTGTTGGAAGTATATCCCTCCATGGGTAATTTGCTTAAGATTTTCAGCAATTCTATGAATAATATAAGTACCCATATTTATTCCAATTGCAGAAAATAGAACACCCAATAAAAATCGAATTTAGTAAAATGCAAAAAAAAGTCCCTAATTTATTCCAAACCAAAATCATCAATTGATATTATATTACCACATCCAATAACGCCATTCTGTGAACACACAAATCAGATAGACAATCTCGCCCTTGTTTTGTATTAGCTACATATACTCAGATTGCAGGAAAAGGCTGGAGCAATTACGAGAATCAGAATATATAAAATAACAAAAACTGGTGTATCATACTTAGAGAGTGTGCTTTAATTCCATAACGCTCTTCATCTTGGGGGCATAGAGGCCATAGACAAGGGCCTGGCGTTTGGCAATCTCAAGCTGCGCCTTGCCGTCGGAGAAGGCTGCGGCGACATGAGAGGAGTCTGTGAGGCCCTTGTTGTGTCGGAAGGCATCGATGGTCCGGCGCTTGGTGTATTCTCTTATATTGTAGTCTGAGAAGTCACGAGCCGTCTTTAGCAGTGACCGGAACAGCAAGAGAACTTCAACCCTTGATGGCGATGCCATTCTCGTGTTCTTTTGACAAATACGGAGTACTACCCTAAGAAAAGGGGTGAAAGAGGCCGTGGTGTTGCAAAATGTTCTTATTCTTATGCCTGGATCCCCTAAACCTTATTTGCCGGCTTTTGATGTCCCTACTTTTTTTTTTTTTGCTTTTCTTGTTCCAAAAGGTGGAATCTCCCACCTCAGGAGCCCCACCCCGACACGACAGGATGGTGGGGAGGTTAGTCACGGTGACTCAGTCAGCAGAATGGTAGTAGGCTCATACACCTGTGCGCACCAGAGGCTCAGCTTTATTTCAGGTTCTGTGACATCCACCCGGTCGCTGCGGGGATTCGAACATTGGTCCATTGTTCCAAATTTCTCACCACTCGACCAACTGAGCTACCCGTGCGGGTTTTTTTTTTTGCTTTTCTTTTTTCAATAAACGACATTAATTATCATTAATCGATAAATTAAAGAGAAAATTCCCTAAATAGGAATAAAAAAGTTTTGAAATTCCAAAATAGGAGTATCATGTTTTTTATTTCTTGAAGAGGAGTAAATTTCTGCCAAGTTTGGGAGATTACATGACCTATTCATGACATTTTTTTCAAAATTGGCAGATTACTCTATCTAGGGAATAAAAAACATGATACTCCTATTTTGGAATTTCAAAACGTTTTTGCTCCTATTTAGAGCAATTTCTATAAATTAAAATCAAGAGAATATAAAATATGAGTACCATTCAAAAATAAAAAATAAACTATTTTGAAGGATTACCTAAGCACTAAAGAGATTTTTATAAAGTGACTCAAATAAGGTAGAAGGTAGGTGTATTGAGCATACTTGAGATTTATAATTAACTTAGATATAGGCAAATCTCTGAAGAAAGCGACAAAACTTTGAAAGGGCACTAACGAGTTATGGGGTGGACTTTAAATATGGAGTGTTTTCTTAAAAAAAAACATGAGAACGATGCTTAACGTGGGAAAACCATGGGAAAACCGACCAAGTTAGGGTTTTTTTTTATGGAATGTTTTCTTAAAACATGGGAAAACCAACCAAGTAAGGCAAAAAAATGTGAAAATTTTAGGATTTCTAGGATTATGAAATTAGGATAGGGGCATTCCGAATAGAGTGTAGAGAGAATGAAAACAAATATGGTCCATGCCATATATATATATATATATATATATATATTGCGATTCCAGTGAGAACGCATCAAAGTCGTTGATCTTTGGAAAATAACGGTCATAACTTGTAGAGTGCACTCCTATGTTGTGTGGATAACCACATACTAACACATTCATAACTAATAAATGGCTTTTGAACGTAATAAGAAAGGGCAATTACGTAATGCTAATTTTTTTACCTTCAATGATTTTGTTTAAACGGCACATGATTTCCTTATGTTTATCCCTACAATGATAACACCCTATTTGGCATTTATTGTCTTGCAACTATATTAGTTTCATGTATGCAAGGAATTCAAACTACGTATAAATAAAGTGTTTGATAAATTTAGGTGCTCAATACATTTAAAATACACATTACTTTTATATTGTTGTAATTAATTCAATTGTTTTTAGTGCTGAAATAATTCACTTTGTTAATGGTGTATGTTATAAGTATACTTGTGCACGCAACGTGTTGCAGTATTAGTGTAAAGTGTTGTAATTCAACACTGCCTAAATAAGTTTTAGTTTATGTGCACAATAGTTGAAATTTTTTAACAAATAGTGTAGTAGCAAAGTGGAATGTGTAATAAGTAATGGATAAAGAGCATCACATGATGTCTAGAGTTGAGATAAATTATTATATTTGAAGTGCATTTTTTTTAATATGTTATTAAAATTTACAACATGAACTTTTTTAATTTTTTTAAAGTTCATTACAAGATATTTAAAGTTCTTGAACACACAAGTACCATTATCAATTGCATAACTACCGGTATTTATTACACAAACCAACATCATACATAAATTTCATACTCCGTATAACATGCACAAGAATTCGTATGAACTGAACAAGAAAATAAATCTTAATTTAATGTATTGATTAATTAATAACTATAATTTGTGTATAAAAATGAAGTTCAATGTAATGCACATGACCTAATATATAGTGCACAAAGTTAAAAAGATGTTTAGAAATAAGAATATTAGAATAGTGAATAATATCAATTAAGTGAAATGAAAAAATGGTAATGCACTACTTTCTTCCTAAAATAAATTTCTTCCAAAGAAACTTACGTACTTTCTTCCTATGTTAGTTGACTAGACTCTCACAATAATTATCGACCAAATAATTACCAAATTAAGTTATCTGTGCATGATTACTATAATGGCCAAATAATAAATGATTAAACGTTTTGTGGATGTAGAGAAAACAATGGCTAGGATGTGTTCTCATTTCTTACGTTAAGCAATGTTCTTATTTGAACCAAAATTTTTATATATATATATATATATATATATATATATCAATATTCAATATTATTAATTCGAAAACCTTTTTTATTTTACTTCAATTTTTACAAAAAATATATCAAAACTCATAACTTTTTATGATCTTTAATACGACATCAATATTGTATATATAAAATTTTAAAGAAATTGAAATTTCAACTGTATGAGGTTTTCAGACCCAAAAAGTTACTCCCTCCGGTCCTTATTAAACTTTACACTTTGACTTCACATATATTAAGGAAATAAATTTGACTTTACTGTAGAGTACACTGTTTGGCACTGTTTGATACTGTTTAGCACTGTTTGGCACTGTTTGGTGTAGATTTGTTTGCCAAATAAGGCAAATAAGGAAGTGTAAAGTTTAATATGGGACGACCTAAAAAGAAAAGTGTAAAGTTAATTAAGGACTGGAGGGAGTAAAATTTATATATGTAATAATATAGTGTCACATGAAAGCTCATAAAAAATTATGAATTTTGATATATTTTTGTAAAAATTGGAAAAATGTTACAACACTTTAAAGAAAAATGAAACGTTTACTTATTTCTTTAAAAAAGTTACAACACTTCACAGAAAAATTGTATTACATGTAAAAAAGTTTATGAATATAAAAATAGGCTAAACGGTCAAGTAGCCCCCTATACTGATCATGTAAACTCAATTCAGTCCCTTAACTAAAAAAATGTCCAATTCGCACCCCGAATTGGCCAAAAAAGATTCAAATTTCAATTTTTACGGGTAAACAATCGGTAAAAATGGTCCAATCCGCACCCCTAAACTATTAAAAAGTGTCAAAATTACAAAAATCAAAAATGAAAAACAAAAAAAATAAAAATAAATAAAAATATGATCGGTTATTTACCCGTAAAAATGAAATTTGAATCATTTTTTGTTAGTTCGGGGTGCGAATTGAATCTTTATTTTGTTTAGGGAGTGAATTGAGCTTACACGACCGGTAGGGGGGCTATTTGACCCTTTAGCCTATAAAAATATACAGAAAAATAGTGCATGAATATGAAATGCAATAACTTATTTTATGTAGATTAATAAGAAATTTGTTAGAAATTGATAAAGCTTAAAAAATAGATTGAGCCCTAATTAAATTTAGAATAAAGAAAGTAAAATCGCAACTAAATTTCTAGTATTTGATGGAGAAGGAGAAAAAAATTCAAGAATAGAGAAATCGGGGGTGGGGGACAAAATAGACATAATAGTTGGATCGGTACACCGTGCACACAGTATATCGATCCGATAGTATAATTTGTCAGGAGTCAATAGTGGATCCCAGTCTCCCAGACAAATACATGTTTGTTTAGTGTGAACATGACAAACAAATAGCCTCTTACAGGAATGGGTACAAGGTGGATATAAGAATGTGAGTACAAACAGTTTTTTTCAAACTTGACAGAGAAGAAATTTGAATTATTTAATGATGAACAAAATGCCATGTTGGAGTAGATAAATAAATAAACAAACAACTGCATTAAATAAAGAAATTGTAAAGATCACTTTATTGATGTTGGCATATTATTCATCTGTTCGTGCCTATTGCCATTATTATTTCATGAATCAAATTTAATCAAATCAAATAAACTCATCACGTGGAAATAAAATCTAAACGGCCAAAACATTGCAACAGAAGACAGTGATACACATGATATTGTGCTAACATATACTTCGTATAACCCACGTATTTGCATGTAGGGTGCAACCAAATCATTTGCAAGCTGAACTGGCATATGTCAGATCTCCCGGCAAGTTGGAGCGATGAAATTTGGGAAAACAATGAATTTGATGGACAACGGGGATATCGCAATGGGAGAGTTCACATTTTGAAGGAGTGGTGAAAGCAGAGGGATATCTCCGTTTTCTGTAAGTTGTAACGGGCTTCCGTTCAGCAGTGCGGTTCTGCTTTGGAGGTCCCCATTTTCTGGAGTAAGATGGTACTCTTCTCGATACAGCGGAACTTGAGATGATTTGCTTCCCATCCATGAAACGAGTTCCTTGATACGGTGCAGGAAGGACCGTTTTTTCGTTATCACTCTGGCCTGCCGCAGGTCGATGCTTGTCCGGGATTCAATGTCAATAGTGAACCTTGTTTGGTTGCTTAGGTTGATCAAAAGCAGGGTGACACCACCAGCCTGTATAAAACACACCACTGCAGCCAGTTAAATATATGAAGAGTTCAGCCTTTACATCATACTGACCAGGTGCAACTTTGTCAAAAAGGAGTTCACCCTTATTATCACCTTAATCCCAACTGGGGGAACAGTTGCACGAACGCCGGTCCTGAGTATCATGGTGCAGCTAGGGGCAGGGGCAAATGGGCCCATACCCACTCAAGTTTGGTAAAACCTTCATTTTGATATGTAATTATGTGCGAGTATATGAATGAATTTCTATTGTGGCGCACACTCAAATACATAAAATTAGGGTCCAATATTTGGTGATGAAAGCAGAGGTTAAGCACAGCTTGAAGTTTTAAGAATTGAAACCCATCAACTCTTGACCTGTCTCATAACAAATATCTTTGGACCAATTAATTTTGTGACCTCATAAATTATGTCCAACGAAGAGATCTCGCACATAGGCTGCGAATAAACCATGACCAGCCCATGATTTGTTCCATGAAATTTTTAGTGTTCATTCGATCTAAAATTAGTTAATGCTATAAATTCAATCAAAAGGCGGGTTAATTACAAACATTAGAGAGATGAAAGTCCAAATTCATCGCCGTCATATGCTTTTTGCATTTGCTTGTAAAATACCATGCTCTATCTCAATTACAACTCAATATTTATTTTAACTAACACGCGACTGGTCAACATTCTTTTAACTATCTCAACTCATCGTTGCTTCATACTCCCTCTTACCCAAAATATGATATGTTTTGTCAAATACTCCGTACTAAATTTTGGAAAATATATGAATCTACCATATAACTTTGATACTTTTAAATAAAATATTGAACCTGTTTGCAACTTGTTTGAAATGTACATGAAACAACTACCTTTGTTTGATCAAATAAACCTCCATTTGGGACCAAATAAAAAAGATTTTCAACCATGACTCTATTTTGGGGAAGGAACGGGAAACATTTCTAATGGAGTGAAAACAAAACAATGACTGATGCTTTTGAAATTTCTTCTTATTATTCCTTCTTTAATAAGTTGCAACATGAAGGAAATTTAGCCCAAAACCTTTTCGTTAAGCCCTCCTCCGTTCCGTTAAGATTGTCCCATATTTCCTTATTGATCCATCCCACTAAGACTGTAACATACCAAATTTGGTAAAGTTTGTGTGGTTCTAAATCATTCTTACTTTATTCTTACTTTATCAATTCAATATTAACCACATAAATCCACTTTTTTAATAATCGCACCACCTCCTAATGTTCCAATGTTAGTGGGACGGAGGTAGTATTTTTCTACTACAGGATTCATGAAAGTTTGTGATTTTGCCTCTGGTCAGCATATTTATGATTATGTTGTTTTCTGTTTTAAGTTTCATGAAATTTTGTATCTCTGAGCAAATAGACATGGGCATGGGATTCATTCTAGTGTCAAATAAAAGGATAGGTTATGGCGCTTACTCTTTCTTTTGTGCAGTGGGCATAAGCACGTAGATACGGTGATGCATGTCTGTTAACATCAAGCACTCCTCGCCCCATCAGCCGATGCCAAACAAGTGCACTGAATTCAAAGAGAGTGTTAAATAATCCACATTCATATTAACTTTCAAGAGACAACTTAGAAAATTCATTACATATTTCGTATAAAAACATAACTTAGAGCATGCTTGGTAACCCTTTTCAGCTTATCGGTCTTATTAGCCCGATTTAGGGTATAACTGCCTATCACACTTCATTGTGCTGACTGAATGGTTGAAATGAAAGCATATGACATCTCTAATTCATATTTTGATATTGTACTCTTTGCTGCTATTTTAAGAAAAATATTTTAAACAAATCTTTTAAAATACTTTAGCAGATTCAACCAATTCAACGACTTCAACAATTTAATACTCCTCAGCTATTTTGAGCCTTGCCAAATGGGCTAACCTGTAATAATCTGGATTTGGGGAAAAAGTGCTTGTGTCAAGAAGCCCATAGTTCCCACCAATTAAGCTTTGCCGGCAATAGACTTTTGTATTGTACTTAGCTGCCATACCAAGCTGATCGACATACCTTAAATTCCATTACAGACGGAAAGTTATTGATGACTTCCTTAAGAGTAACAAATATATGTACCAACACAAATATATTAAAAACGTTTAAATATTCATGTTTAAAAAAATATCAATACCAAAATATTACCAGAAACTGTCAACAAAGGCATTGGACACTTTCGAACCACCACTATTATAGGCACCGCCAGCTTCTCCAACCCAAGCTGAAGCCCAAGGACCATTTGCATGAATGGTTTGCGAAACACTTTCAAATGTATCTGATATCTTATTCAAGTACTCCGGATTTAGAATTCTGCTAATGAGATTGGGGTCAGATCCTGAAAACAGAGTTTGTAGGCTTTATTCAAATAGCAGAGTAATTACATCACCGCTGAATGGGATGAATTATATAACTATGTATTAAAATGTGTTATTAAAATAAACTAAATAAACAATATCTAAAAGATGTGGATATAATGTCATTCAACTCCAATACAATGAAAAGTAACTTCTGCTCTACGTTCTTTTTATTCGGTGAATCACTTCATGCAGTAAAATAAGTTGGTGTTTGATATAAAAACTGGCGGATAAGAAATTGAAGCTAGTAAACAGGCAGAAATTAAACCAGGTTGTAATGAAGCTTTTAAAATGATAAAACACGGTTGCTGTCCTCGTGCAAACGATTTTTTTCAAATGGATGGTAAATGATTCTTTTCCATCATTTGCAATACAGCCAAAGATTCACTATTTCTTGGCTGGGAATATGATGGAATAAAGCAAAATGGCTCACTAAATTTTCTGCGCTTCTTTGTTATGAAGCAATAGTCAGTTATTGCAATTTTCGACGTGAATTTCACCATGGGTCATCAGAAAACAGTCCGAAAACAGTCTCTGTGGTTTAGTACAGGGGTAAGGTTGCGTACATCCACCCCCCTACCCCACCGTAGGTGGGAGCCTTTGCGGCACTGGGGTGATGATGATGATGAATGATGATGATGATGGATGGTAAAATGATTCAAAAATCCAGAAAAACTATGTAGAAAAGAACACATATAAAGTAAAACATAACAAAACTATTTGTCTAAAAGGGGTCCTCTTTAATTAAATGATGATATTTTTTCAATAAAAACAAACCAAAATATTGTACTAACAATTCAACCTCTTCTTTATCTTTTTACACCATTATCTTTTAATCATTTTTATCTTAATCTTATCTTATTTACTCCGTATCTTTTTATTTTATATTATCTTTTTATCTTTTTTAACTCCGATTTCATATGTCGATTCATGTTAGCCGATCTCAAACTCTTTTGGGACTAAGGCTTGGATGTTGTTGGTGTTGAAATCGTAAACCATTACAAATAATCTACAATTATAAATATCATTTATGAGTTATAAGTATAACAATTGTACCTTGACAAAATAGTTGTCCTTGAGCAAACAAGACATTTTATAAGATGAAGGGAGTAGTAAGTTTTAACAACTTACCTGGTCCGAGATTATATATATGATGTGTCAAGGCATTGACAGTGGATGGTCCAGAAGCATCAAGGAAGTGCTCAAACCACAACTTATCATAGAACCCTCCTGGTGCCAGTAGAAGGGGTTTTAGGTGTGTGTTCCCATACAGTTGAGTAATGACAGACTTCAGTCTGATCATATCCTTTGCATATTGTCCAGCATCTACACTGGCACCAACACCAGCACCACACAGCTCATTGCCTCCAATAGCAAAATCAAACATTGATCATAAGTCACTATTTATAAATTATAGCATCCATTAAAATTTGAATAAGATTTGTTAAATGAGACAGAACTCACTCAAAAGAATACTCAATAAGTTAGGTTTACCTATCCACTTATGCGCTAATTCAAACTCGGTGTAAGACCAGTGGGCAGTGGGATACTCAACACTCCCCTTCAGCCCAAACCTGTTTGGACAACTAAAAGAGTGGGGGATGGTAGACTGAAGCACAGGGAAACCTAGTCTTTTTATATATTTTAATGAAAACATTATCTTTTTCCCATGTTGCCCACCACCATTTTTCCTTCAGCCCGGTCCACTCTATTCAGTCCAGTCCAACATAAATTCCTGAATCCTACTCTGCATGTGACCATCATCATACCAGGCTTGATTCCATGTGGAATTGGGCCTAACCCACTCTAAAATGATTGTAGAGGTAAAGTTCACGGCAAACTTATACAGTAGACCAATAAAAAACCAATGAAGGATACTAGAAAAGTTTCCTACCAAATTCCCACGAGCTTATGTGGTAACCCTTGGAAATGGTGTAGTTGATAAAGTCATGGGCATTACTGGAATCCCAGTTTCCTCTCCACTGTTTTTGTATCCTCTGTCTCCCTTGTAATGCATTCAAACCAAATGTAACAAGTGCTCTGAAATTCAAAATTCACAATAGTTTAACGGAACTGTAACCTTTTCTGGAAACATTGCCATGTACACTACAAGTTATGAATGAAATACAAGAAATTGATCAATTGAGCATTTTTTAACACTATGTAAGAATAGAAAGAATTCTGAAAAAGTTAATTTACCCTGTCTTCCTGAAGAAGCTGTTTAACTCATCCCACCTGCCCATATGTAGGCATCCTTTAGAAAATCCAAAAAGCCCATCATTCTGCTTCCTAAATGGATGGCAGGGAGCCTTCAGACTGCCCACATCATAAAGAACTTGGTCTTGCAATGAACCCCCAAGTCGTAATCTCAAACCATGAAAAGCTATAATAATAACAACAATTATACAGAGAGAGAGAGATCACCAGAAGCTCATGCTCCCATAATTAATTAATTACTAGCCGATCATTTTACTTTCTTGAAGATAGGAAACCAAATGATATGGGGAAATAACTTTTCAGATGACTACTTTACAATATGAAAGACAATATTCACATTTTATTTGTCCAATTTCTTTCTTAGTCCGCCACGAGATAATATAAACTTTTCATTGTTTTAAATCAATAATTAATTCTATTCTCAATTCACCCTTACTACCTTTTAACAGTTTGAGGTGATTTGATGACTACATGAATCCCTTTGAGGGACAATTTACTACCACGTAAAATGCATCAGAATTTATCTGTTTTCATTATAACTCAAGCTGAAAGCAAAATTGTAAACATTTGGACGGAGTAAGTAATACAATGAGAACACAGATTCATATCAAAACCTAAGTGTTAAAGCTCATAAAAGGAAAATGCAAACCTTGGATAGCATTTGCCAGAAAAGGGTGAGATAAATCCTGAAAAGATCAAACCGCTAGTGAGAAATTTTGATTGTTCTGCTAATATCAAATTTTCATTAAACTAAAAAGGGTTGGAAATTTTTGTGAACATAATCATGACTTATTTGTACCAGGTTTGTCACAGATGAATAACCCCAAGGGCATTGGTTGTAGTTGCACTTATCGTGAGGCCACCAATCAAGGGTAGCACATATATAATTAGCATCGGTATCTCCGATCCGTTTGGTTGTTTCAATCACAAGTGAAGCATGCTCAACACTTTGTGTAAAAACTGTAGGAAACAATGCTAGAAAAACTAACAATAATTCTTGGAAGCGCATTGATTATTCAACTCCAGAGCTTAAGCTGAACTCAGTCAAAAGTACTGTATGGGAGTTGCATAAACGAATCCTGTTTCCTGGTTCTTTAATTATCTGAAAATATGAAGCATGTCATTGAAACATCAAAGGCATCACCCTTCAGATTTTTCACATTTTTCATGATGAGTGGGCATGTAATATCATAAAGAATCTAAATAGATTAAATATAACATGTTTAGTTAAACCAGTAAATAAACGTAAAAATACAAGTGAAATAGTGATTTATAGGAGTTGCACCTTACCGAAATTTAAAAGTTGTACTCTATAAGCCCTTCGGTAAGAAGTGATTTATATATTTTTCCAAGATCACGACTTTAGAATAAAATAAGAAATTGGTGAATCTACTAAACTTAAATAAGGAAACAAACAATTCCCAATTCAAAAGCTTGAGATGCCAAGTAGCCCAGAATACTTAAAATATCAAAGCATCGTTTTTATTCAGGTGTGCAAAGATTTAGCAGGGAAACTTGCTTTCTACTTATTCTCTTTTCCGGATATATAAATATTTATAAAGAAAAAGACCGGGCAACAGAACAGCTAGTAAAAACACACGGCACCAGAAACTGATCCTTCGAACCAAAGGCAAATGTCAAACAGTTTATAAGCTACGCTATAAAGCCATTAAAAAGGAATATGAAACGGTAAACAAGAACAGATGCTCCAAAAACTCGTATCCATTTCAGCTAGAGTTTCAGTAAGCTGAGATAAACAGGAAAGAACAAGAGAAGCGTAGTCCTTCAGTTAACACGGGGATTGAACTTTAAACCCAGAGCTTCACAAAGCCATGTGCATGAAAATTAAGGAAACCCAAGAAAGAAGGAACCCAGAATTCTGAGCTAAAAGGTTGGATTTACCGATAGATTCAAATGCATAGCTGGGGGGATAAGAGGTGCGTGTGAGTGTGTGTATAGGTTTCGTGCGTGGGTTGGGTCTCAGATTTCAGCTGAAGGTGGGGCCCGCTTTCCCGAGCTCGTCATGTGTCAGCGTCAAATTTCGCTTGCGATTTTGGTAAGAATAATGAATGATGGGTGTCATTCCACTGTGATACCAAATGTCTTCACCATTACATGAAAATTCTACATTTAGTATTAGACTTTATAATGATTGGATGGATACACAAAACAAAAACAAAAGGGAAATGCGTCTCTCATTAAGATGGACAACTTTCCAAGTCAGTAACTATCAGAAGTCAAGCTTATTAATCAAATGTAGAAACTAGAAAGATCACTATGCTATGTGTAAAGAATTCATTTTTCCTTTTCCTTTTTGTAAGTGAATTGATTTTCAAATATACTCTTACAAATCTTGATGCACATTTACTTCACAAGTACGCAATGTTTATTAAGATTTGCGTTAATAAACGGTCCATAATAAAAAATAGTGTTATAAGTTCATGTTTACTTCACAGTTTCTAAAACACCGTTTAACATTAAAATATCTAAATTAATCTTATACATATATAGATACAGAAACATGCATGTATACACAATTATATATATATATATATATATATATATATAGATAGATAGATAGATAGATAGATAGATAGATAGATAGATAGATAGATAGATATGTGTTCAAATGAGAATAGTATCTCAGGAAAGAAATAAGAATGAAGATCAGCCGTCCGATCTTATACTGAATCTCACGTGCAACTACACATTCTAAAGGTTATTCATGTCATTTTATTTTTGAAACCGACGTTGACGACGCACGTACTAAGGCTTTCTTTATTTACGCACCTGAGTTCTTTGCATAACAGCTTCTCAAAATCCCTTATTGATCATCGTTTGATTTTTGCATCTTTTCCCTTTCCTTTCTCTACCGGTTTCAATCCTGCTTCATCTCCATCGTCCCTGTCTGTCAAGCCAATTCCCTTCTTGGCGCTCGTCATACACAGTTGTGTCATGGAAACCGGTTAGCATCGCTCCTCTGTTCTTTGTTATGCTGTAAATTTTTTTACTTTTTTATGTGCTCTTCGATTCTTTCAATGTTTTTGATGTAATAGTTTTATATAATTGTGAATGTATTTGGTGAATATTTTGTAACAATTCTCTACCCCTCTTTTTTATATTTGTATTTCGTGAATGTATGTGAAATTCTTGAAAGTTTGAAATTGTCTAGTTCCACTCCATTTTGCCAGAGGAATCAAAGTATTATTGTGCATTATGTGTAGTTAATATATTATGTATTATGATGCTGCCAAATGCTTTCCCATGATGCACTTTGAATGTGATGTGTCTTTGAATTTATATAATTTTTTTTAAATAAAAATGTAGTTCAAAAGTTTATTCAATGCACTCCATTTTGCATCATGATGCTGAAAAATGTTAACGTAATGCACCTCTAGTTTATTCGTATTACAGTTCATAATGAAATGTTTAATGCATTCCATTAATGATTTAGATGTTCATTCATGTGCTACATAATGCACTGTATTTGTGAATTATTTTATATGACGAAATGTTTTTACTTTTAATTCAGATTCAAATTAATGCATATGTTTAGTTAATATATTCAGTGTTATAATGCTGCTAAATGCTTTCCCATGATGCACATTGACTGTGATGTGTCTTTGCATTTGTATAAAATTCTTAATTTTTTTAATAACAATGTAGTTCAAAAGTTGATTCAATGCACTCCATTTTGCATCATGCTGCCTAAAATATTTACGTAATGCACTTCTACTTTATGTGAAGAATTGTTTTTACTTTTATTTCAGATTCAAATTAATGGTTTTATACTACAATCCCATTTTATTCTGATGAATGATTATGTGTACAACTGTTTTGCTTATTCATTCAGATTCAAATGACGTTGGTTTCCGTGCTTCTTCTGCAATTTCTCAGCCCGTTGATGTTCAAACAATGCACCTTTTGCCTGGATCCACTATGTATTCGACACCCGAGTGTGATGCCGCTGTCAAACCGTGTGTTGGTATGTTGTTCAACAATCTGCGTGAAGCTAAGGTTTTTTATGATGATTATGCATCAGTGTGTGGTTTTGAAACACGTATTTTTAGTTCATCAAAGGCTCCTGATGGTTTTATTGTTTGGAGATATTTGGTATGTAATAGGGAGGGATTCAAAAATGTATCTAAATCTTGCAAGGATGCATCTAACAACGATCGTTACAAAACCACACATAACAACTCTGGTTGCATTAATGAAGATGCAAATAATGAGTTAACTCATGAAAATGAGTCATCAGAATCCGAAGGAGGTGAAATTGATGGGCAACCTTCTGGTCAAGATTTACAAACTTCTGCCCTCTGTGTTGATGATGAGAAAAAAAAGACGTCGAGTTTCCAATAGGATTGGATGTAAATCACGTTTAGTGCTTAGGCTTGCTGACACCAACACATACGTGGTTACATTGTTTGAAGAGAAGCATAACCATTGTATGGCTTCTAGTTCTTCCATGCCATTTTTAAAAGTTAATAGGAAACTAGATATTGGTCATCAAAAGTGTTTCCTCAATTGTGTTAAAGCAAATATCGATACAACAAAATGTTATCGATTGTATAAAGAAACTATCGGCGGCTATTCCAATATAGGTGCCACATCCATTGATTTTAGGGGAAACTGTCAATTGCTGTAACACCCCCAAATTTCCCTCCCAAAATAATACTTGAAATGATGATTTATTAATAATAAACTTACTTTATTCATTCAAACTAAAGTAAAAAGTTTGGCAATGGAAATAACATTAACAGGGAAACGGGTGTTACCGCCACATCCGGTCATCTCTTAACCGGATGCACAGGCAATCCCGAAATAAAACAAAGTAAAACAAATATTCGACATAACTAAAATGTTTATTCTTGTCTAAGTTTTACTAAGGCATCTCTTAACCGCTCTCGGGCGCATGCAATCATCAATCAACATAGACATCATTACATGCACAAGTAAAGTGCAGAAAACAAAACAAAGAAAAGGAAGCAAAAATTAGCTTTAGAGCTAAGTAAGTACTACCCAACCCCGTAAAATAATCAGGTTTGACAAAAATAGATTTTTATATATTATTATATATAAAAAAAACTCACTCCACCGAAATACTTTTCTCTTTAATTTTCTTCTCAAAATCACTTCTTTACTAAAGTCCTCAACTTTTCTTTGAAAATACAATAGTAACTCTTCTCTTAGGATTTCTCAAAATTCACCTCTTCTCTATCTTTCTAGTAATTTAGAAGGGCGGTGCTCAACACTCTGGTTGAGCCCGGTGGTTACGTTATTATGTACGGCCACCCCGGGACTTTTGCCGGTACCACAACTGCTAATGGAAACGAAACGACTACCTTAAGTGTGCACACCCCCAAAAAGGGATTCCAAGCCCTCCGAGTAGTAAGTCGTCCCGAGTAGTCGGGACTCAGTCTACCAACTACCCCACCTTTAAAATTCTTGAATGATTAGGGACTACTACTATAACTTCTTCTTAAAAGGGATAGATCGTAGATCCAAATGTCACTTGAAACTCAAACTGTACTTCTTAGTAGTAGTACCTCTAATCACCCTCCACATTTATCCGGATGTGGAAAACCGACACCGCGGATTTCTCCCGCGGTGCTCACCTCTTATGAAAACGTAAATTTTATCTTGGCTTTAGATATACTTCTAAAAATATTCCTCAATCTCTCTAAGTAATCGCAAAGGTATTTAAAAATATTTAATACCCCAAAAAGTACTCTTAATTTGTATTCCTCAAAATCTCATACACATAATTCAAAATTCACACTTAATCACGTAATGCATAATAAGCATATAATACGAGGAAACAATTTTGGATTGACAGAGAAACTTACCTTAATTTTCAGGAATCTTTACTTGTAACTAAAACTTGATCCTCTTCAAAGTCACCTTTAATAACGTAAAGTTCTAAGATTAATAATTATTGTATTCTTATTAATCTACTCCATTTCCTACCTTGTTAATAAACTTAAGATTAATAAGTAGACTTTTTATTAAGTAACTTAATCCATTTTCATTATTTTATCTAAATTAATTAATGGAGTTATAATAATTCACTTAATTTAATTTAATTTTTCGTTTTTAATCACATACTATTTTAATTTGAATTTCTAGCCTAAAAATTCTTTTTTTACAAAATCAAGATTTATCAATCACTATTAATTTCGTTTAATCTAGTGCCACTAAAAGAATGATTTAGACATTCAATTTTAATAATTAATCTAATGATCAAGTTATAATTCAATGACCCTTAAATTATAATATTACTATTGAGTCAAATAAGCCACTGTTAGTTATTTTACTAATTTCATTAATTAGTTTAATCGGCCCATCTGGTGTTTGTTAGATCCTTCTTAATAATTAATTTCTAATCTAAATTAAGGTATCCAAATAGTCATACTAAATAATTATAAAAGGCCCGATTACAAAATTTGGTTAGTTTATATATAACCTTTCCATTATTAGTTCTTTTCTTTTATAAATTCTGTATATAACTAGTTATCCTTTCTAAAAAAATGATAAATTTACTAAGAGAGAATATTATCCACTATAACTTATACTCCGTATTAAAGATTCTTCAAACCCAATTATCATTATCCTTATTAACACTACATTTTTTTATATTACTATTACTGCTATCGTTATATATCTTTTTTTTTTTTACTTTTGTTATAGTTATTATTAATATCATTACTGTTATTAATAATCTACAGCCTAAATTAGACGGCTCATATCGACTATTCTAGTTATTTTATTACTAAATTCGGAGGCCCAATTCTTAATTTAAACAGCCCAAGTATTAAATAATAAACCCAGCCCAATTTCTTTTTAAAACAACAAAAGACCAAAACGGAAGAATGCAAAAACCACGTACTGTGCTTCTTCTTCGTGGAACAAACGTGCGTCGTGGTTGGTAGACTGGTAGCGGCTCCGGCGGTGTTCTTTTCCTGGTGTCAGTGATCCTCAATCACTCCTTCTACTCTCCAGCAACTCAGGTCGTGAGGGTGGGCAATGGGCAGAACAGCGTTGCTCCTTGGGCGTGAAATAGAACAGTCCGGCGAACTCCGGTGAGCTTTTTTTTCCTCCGGTGATCTTCTTTCCTCTCAACAACTACGTATTTCTTCTTCCCTACTCTCAGAGACTACGTTTGCGATGTTTTTAGCTCTAGTTTGGGTGTATATACTTGCCACCGAATATATAATTATATACGTACGGGGAGTATATTTATATACGAAGTATAAGTATATATAAACATACACAGGTAGTTTGTGTGCAGAGTCTCTTAACCCATCGTCGCTATTTATACTTCTCAGCTGAAACTTCTCGGTACTCTGACGCATGATTAGCCGATATATGACAAGTAGGAGTATGGCCTGCCGACGTTGTACTGCTGCTTAATAGTTCTCTAATTTGTTTACTTGCAATTCTTTAATGGCAGGATAGTTTGGGCGGCCAATCAGTACTATTACATTATTATTGTTATTTGTTTTGTAGTAGTATAATTATTTAGTTGTTAGATTATTTAGTCTGTTCCTGTGCATTATATATTACGTGTTCCTATATGTATACTACTCTTATGTTTATGTACTTTATTATATTTCAATCAATCATGTTAGATGAATTATATCTCCATTATTGTTATTATATATGTGTGTATTTGTATATACCGAGTATACACTAGCTTTCTAAAGTTTATATATCATTTTTATTAGTTTTATAGTGTACGTTTGTATGTTAATAATAATCGATACCTTTAGACTTAAAATTCTTAAAGCGCCATTTTTATTATTTATGTCATATGTTGTATTATCACTTGATATAAATATTTCTTCTTTTATCGGACCATTTTTATCTGACTAAAAATGTCACAATTGTTAATTTTCTGTCTGGTTCACTTGTTTCATAAAATGTTGTTCCTATTACTGAAATATTTTTATCTGACTAAGACGTCATAAATTTTGAAATTTTTATCTGATTAGAATGTTACAACTGTTGAATTTTTGTCTGACTCAATTAATAATTAAAATGTCACTTCCGCAATATTTTATGATTTATCTGGCTAAAAATTATTTTTATTTTTATTTAAATTTTGGAGTGTCACATTCTACCCTCCTTAAAAGATGTTTCGTCCCGAAACATTACTATATCTAAATAATCAAATTCTTAAGTGTTACAATTGCGCCCTCCTACTATGCGCGATCCGTCAATGGAGTCCCCGTACTTTGGAAACCCTCAATTGAACCCGCCAACAATGAAAATGCTGTCAATTAGGTCTACATAACCGGATGCTTCCCGGTTAGCCCGTTGCTCGCTCACGTGGACATCGTACATTGAGGGTTCCGTTGCTGACATGGATTAAAAATTTCCACATCACGTGGCCTCTCTAGCCATTACCTCTGCCGGCCAGCTTCCATAGCCGCCGCCTCCGGAGTCCGGCCTCTACCTTCACCTCAACCACCCCTTCCGCCATACAAACGTCCTCCGACCACCACCTCCGTCCCTTCGTCTCCTCCTTTGAAACGAACTCCAGCCGCGCCGACTTCCGTAGCATTCACCTCCGCCGTCCTTACCACCATACCAACCGCCTCGACCCGGCTTCCACCTCCATGGTCTCCACCTTCATCTTTTCTATTGGAAGTTGGAACGACCTCCAACCACCCCAGCCTCCATAGCTACCACCACCAGCTCCACCATAGATCTGTAGTCTGTGCAGGAGGGAACTGAGGAGATGGAGTTGCAGATCCATAGGAGAAATAGAAAAGGGAAAGAAAAATTAAAAGCATCGAAAGAAAGAAACGAACAAGGGGGAGCTGCGGACTGGGAAATTAAAGGTGAAGAGTAGCGGACCAGGAAGAAAGAAGAAAGAGAAAAAAAAAGAGAAAGTAGGAAGAGAGAAAAGAAAATTGAAAAAGGGAAGGGAAAACTGTCAATTGATGTGGAAATTTGTAATCCATGTCAGCAACGGAACCCTCAATGTACGATGTCCACTTGAGCGAGCAACGGGCTAACCGGGAAGCATCCGGTTATGTAGACCTAATTGACAGGATTTTCATTGTTGGCGGGTTCAATTGAGGGTTTCCAAAGTACGGGGACTCCATTGACGGATCGCGCATAGTAGGAGGGCGCAATTGACAGTTTTCCCTTGATTTTAAGAATTTTAAATGTGACTTGAAGGCGTACGTAGTTGGCGTGGATGCTCAAATGCTGATAGATAAAATTTTCAGAAAGAAAGAGGTTTGCTCAGCCTTTGCTTTTGACTATGATGTCGATGAGAGTGATCAATTGACACGTATATTTTGGGCTGATCCAGTTTGCATAAGGAACTATGCTTTATTTGGGGATGTTGTTTCTTTTGATGCTACTTATGAGACAAATCGGTAATTTTTCTTTTCATTCTTTATTTTTTAGTAAAATTAATCTGACTTTCTTTTATGTAAAATTGCTGATCCCTCACACTGATATTCTTATACTCATGTATGGGTTACTTCTCTGACATAAACTTGTATATTTGTCACACCTTTCATGAGTTTTTGATGCACTTTTATCTTAAATTTTTTATCTGTCACACGTTTATTCTTATACCTATGTATGTGTCAATTATCTTACATTACCTTCACTCATATGCTGCACCTTTCTTGAGTAATGGATGCACTTTTAATTATTTCTTTCACAATACAGGTATAACATGGTTTTTGCTCTTTTTACCGGTGTTGATAATCATAAAAAATGCATTACATTTGATGTGGGTTTGTTGTTGAAAGAAGATGTTGAATCATATGCTTGATTGTTTCGGTGTTTTCTTAATGCAATGGGCCATGAACCAAAGTGCATCATAACTGACCAAGACCCGGCAATGAAGATTGCTATTCCACAGGTTTTCACTACGACGTGTCATAGATTTTGCATGTGACATATAATGTCCAAGCTTAGTGCAAAAGTTGGACCTGTCTTGAGTAAGGATATGAATTTCTTGAATAAATTGAATTATGTTGTATGGAGTCATTATCTTCAGCCTGCTGAATTTGAAAAGGAATGGAATATGGTAATGAAAGAATTTGACTTACTTGATCACAACTGGTTCACACACATGTTTGAAATTCTCAGGCTTTGGATCCCTGCTTATTTTGGTGACGTTTTGATGGCTGGTTTGCTTAGGACTACATCACGTTCAGAAAGCGAGAATAATTTTTTCAATGAATTCACGAATCCTAACTTCAGTCTGATTGAATTTTATATGCATTTTGAAAGTGCTATGGATTCACAAAGACACAATAGTGCACAGTTGACCAAAGTTTCTGAGTCATGCATTCCTGAATACAAAACTCCATTACATATTGAGAGATATGCTTCGTCTGTTTATAATCATTCCATTTTCTATGTCGTTCAGAAGGAAATATGTTCCACTTGTTTTTCTTGTGGTGTACATAGTGTTCGACATGAAGATGGTGCGTCTCAGTATGTAATATCTGATGAGCGAGGTTTTAGTTTCACAGTTGAGCACAATAGCAGCGATTGTACTACAAGTTGCACGTGCAAACATTTTGAAAGGATTGGCATACTGTGTCGTCACATATTTTTCGTGTTTAAAGATCTGAAGGTTAATGTTATTCCAGATAAATATGTGTTACGCAGATGGTGCAAAGATTCTATCCTAAAGCCTCTTAATGCGTCTGAAGATGTTGTTTTTCAACAGTGTGTTGGCACCGAAGAAAAGAAAGGAGCTATAAAGCAATTGTGGTCCGATATTCATTTTTGTGTCGGAATGATTGAGCACGACCCTGATTTATTCCAGCAATTTGTCGATGTCATTAAGGCGCAGAAAGACTTATTGTCTGCCTCTGATCAAAACAGTGCACCATCAACTTCAAAAAGGGATGTCATTAAATCATTTTATGGATCATCTATTCCTACTGAAGTCAGTGTGCATCCGCCTCAGCAAGCTCGAAATAAAGGTTGTGGCAAGAGGATTAAAGGCGATAAGGAAAAGGCAATTGAAATCAACAAGAAGAGTAAGAGACTTTGCAGAACATGTAATGAGAAGGTTTATCACGATAGTAGGAATTGTCCTTTGAACTCCGAGAAATGATTACAATTTTAATGGATCTGTATGTAGATATATGATAGAGTAATTGTCTCCTAGATTCTAGAGAGAGGTGAGAGCTAGAGAGAGAAGTGGTATATTTGCTTTGTAGTAATGAATTCTGTCAACCCTTACAACTACTCCCAAGGGGAGTATTTATAGAGAAAATACGGACTGGGCTCCCAAGTCTGGGGCTTGGGAGGCCCATTTACAACTGGACCGCTATTGGGCCGAATACAAAGCCACTGATGGTCTATACAAATGAATAAGTGTATAATCCGGTTCTGTGAGACTTCCGTGGCCGACGAGGGCATGGCCGATGAGGGCATGGCCGATGAGGGCATGGCCGATGAGGGCATGGACGATGAGGGCATGGCCGACGAGGTCACCCGATTCTCCTGACTTCTGGATCATATTCTGGGTGGCCTTCTTTCTGGCCGATGAGGGCATGGCCGATGAGAGCATGGACGATGAGGGCACCCGGTTCTCCGGGCTTCTGGATCATATTCTGGGTGGCCTTGTTTCTGGCAGATGAGGGCATGGCCGATGAGAGCATGACCGATGAGAGCATGGCCGATGAGAGCATGGCCGACGAGGTCACCCGGTGATCGTGGTACCTTCTGTTCTTCTGAGTATGTGGGTCCTGGGGCCTAGGCCCATATACTCCATCAGGAGTCCCCCACTCTCTAAGCTGAGATGTAGACGAAGTGAAGGAGAGTAGATTTCTGTGCTTGATGCTCTTGGCCGATGCGGGACCACATTGGTCGTTCCCTGTCGTGGCGTTTGGTGGCCCTGTTCTGAGTTTGGCCATTACCCATTCCTTGATGTGGATGAGGAAGGCTGTTACTCCTTTGGTGCGCTTGTTTGCGGACGATGCGTGTTCCGACATGAGTGGCCGACGAAGGTAGTGTCTATCCTTGGTTGTTGATGGTTTGAACTTCCCTTTTGGGCTGATGAAGCCATTGTGGTTATCTCTTGTTTGAGGACGATGAGTGTCCTTTGTTTTGAGGAAGATGAATGTCCTTCATTTTGAGGACGATGAGTGCCCTTCATTTTGAGGCCGATGAACGTCCTTCATTTTGAGGACGATGAATGTCCTTCATCTTGAGGACGATGAGGGTCCTGGACCAGAGGACGTTGTGCGCCCTTGGCTCTGTGGACGAAGGATGTCATGTCCTTGTGTTTTTGACTTTAATTGATGGACCTTACGCTTGCGGACATTTGTGGCGCGTTCGTTTTGTTCGTGATATGGATGATGAATGTCATAGTCCCGGAGACGATGCGTGCCATTGGCCTTGAGGACGAGGAGTGTCCTTGGCTTTGAGGACGACACGTGCCCTTGATCTTTAGGACGATGTGTGTCCTGCTTTGCGCTTCGGCCTGGCCGAAGGGTGAACACATGGTTGTTGGATGTTGAGGTGCCATTGTCATGGGCTTGTGTTCGTTGGATTTTGAATTTGTTTCTTGACGCTGGAGGCCGATGTAGTCCCCCAGACCTTCTTCTGGCCGATGGAGACATGGCCGACGGAGGTACCACTTGGTAGTCCTTGCTTTTTGTTGCTTTCTGGATGATTTCATGTATGTGGAGGCCGATGTAGTCCCCCAGTCCCCCACTCCTCGAGGCTCATGTAGTGAGGTGAAGAGGAGTAGAGCAATACACGTCTTCAATAGGGGGCCGAGGGTCGACACCTTTTTATCCACAATGGGGCGATGCCTCGTTAAAAACCTCATTAGGAAAAACCCTGTGGGAAAAAATCCTAATGAGGGAAAAAGAGCACACCGGATCCCCCAAAATGAACTCCAAGGGGTGAACCCTTCGGCCTAGGTGTGGAGCTGAAGCGGTGTCCGTCTGATGAGGGGACGCCCATCTGTAGGTGAGGACGACGGCGCTGATGAGCCGGTCCGAATATGAGGACGAGGCGATGGATGCCTGTCTGAATGTGAGGACGACAATGGTAATGATCCATGTGTCATATGAAGGCGACGGTCGCTATCCAGGAAGGGAAATGCGAGCCCGGTCGCTATAACAGTACCTCGGCGATAGGAGCCGGTCTCGAGATATGAGGACGACGGCATTGGGGGGCTGGTCCGAAATCCATGCAACGGTCGCCATCCGGTAAAGGAATGGCTAAGACCGGTCTTAAGATAGAGCATCACACCATAGCTGAGGGGCTGGTCGTGATGTGAAGACGACGGCGATGAGGAGCCGGTCCTACAATCCATGCAACGGTCGCCATCCGGTGAAGGAATGGCTAAGACCGGTCTTGAGATAAATGATCACGCCTTGGACGAGGGGCCGGTCGTGATGTGAGTACGACGGCGATGATGAAGGTGCTCGTCGTATGAAGGCGAGGGTCGCCATACAGGAAGGGAATGGCGAGCCCGCTCGCTGGCTCAAGACGCTCGGCGCTGAGGAGGCCGGTATTGAGATGAAGGATCACGTTGAGACCGAGGGGTCTGCCATGATCTGAGGACGACGGCGCTGATGAAGCCGCTCCTCGTATGAAGGCGAGGGTCGCCATCCAGGAAGGGAATGGCGAGCTTGCTCGCTAGCTCAAGACGCTCGGCGCTGAGGAGGCCGGTCTTGAGATGAAGGATCACGTTGAGACCGGGGGGTCTGCCGTGATATGAGGACGATGGCGTTGATGAAGCCACTCCTCGTATGAAGGCGAGGGTCGCCATCCAGGAAGGGAATGGCGAGCCCGCTCGCTGGCCAGAGGCGCTCGGCGCTGAGGAGGCCGGTCTTGAGATGAAGGATCACGTTGAGACCAAGGGGTCTGCCGTGATCTGAGGACGACGGCGCTGATGAAGCCGGTCCAAATAGATGATGACGAAGGCGTTGATGGAGCCATTCGTCATGCAAGCTCGAAGCTCTCGGCATTGAGGAAGCCGGCCTTGAGATGAATGATCACGTTGAGACCGAGGGGTCGGCCGTGAGAGGACGACGGCGCTGATGAAGCCGCTCCTCGTATGAAGGCGAGGGTCGCCATCCAGGAAGGGAATGGCGAGCCCGCTCGCTAGCTCAAGACGTTCGGCGCTGAGGAGGCCGGTCTTGAGATGAAGGATCACGTTGAGACCGAGGGGTCAGCCGTGATCAGAGGACGACGGCGCTGATGAAGCCAGTCGTCTGAAGATGAAGGGGGGGGGAGTCGGTCCTATGATGAGGACGGCGAAGCCGTACCTATAATGAAGGACGACGTTGAGCGCTCGTCTGATCCGCATATATGATCTTGCTTCGTCCATAATGCATAGTATTTGCCTGATATGTACTTAGCCAAATATGTGGCTTGATTTGTGGGGATTTCATTTTTATTGCTCGAGGCCGGCGAGTGTTCGGTCCTTGGCTTCCCTCTTTTGATTTGTGGGGATTTCGCTCGAGGCCGGCGAGTGCGCGGTCCTCGGCTCTCCCTCTTTTAATTTGTGGGGATTTCGCTCGAGGCCGGCGAGGGCGCGGTCCTCGGCTCTCCCTCTTTTAATTTGTGGGGATTTCGCTCGAGGCCGGCGAGTGCACGGTCCTCGACTATCCCTCTTTTATTTCTTCCTCTACTGCTATGAGCGAGGAGTGGGGGTCCTTCTTTCAGGCTCGACCGAGGGGGTTGCTATTCCCTCGGCCGATAGGGAGTCCAGGAGGGAAACTGTCCGGCCTCTGGCGCTGGCGCGTCCCTAGACCTTGGGGGGTCCCGTCGTCTATTTATGGCGCGGGCTAGGCTTTTGGTCGGTTACCGACGGCTGCCGTTTCCCAATCCCAAGTGTGGGGATTTTGTCATCTCAGCCATTCTTTCAGGCCTGTCGTAATGCGATTTAGCGCGAGGACGACGCGATGAGCTTCCCATTTCGAGACGTGGGCCGTTTGCGGGCCCCTCATCCTGGGACGTCGTCGGCCATACCTGAGCGTTTCGCTCGAAGGGACCGGAATGACGTTCTTTGTTGTGTGGCGTCGTCGGCCATACCTGAGCGTTTCGCTCGAAGGGGGCGAAGCGACGTGCTTGTTGTGTGGTGGCGTCGGCCATACCTGAGCGTTTCGCTCGAAGGGGGCGAAGCGACGTGCTTTGTTGTGTGGCGTCGTCGGCCATACCTGAGCGTTTCGCTCGAAGGGGGCGAAGCGACGTGCTTTGTTGTGTGGCATCCTTTACTTAAACATTACAAGAAATAAGCAGAACACAATAGGTGCGTTGTTTATGGCAACGACTTTTATTAGGGTCAGTGGCTCGAGGCCGAGGGGGTAACCTTCTGAACAACTTGTACAAGAGTTAGCTTCCCAATTAGTTTCTGAGCTTGGGGTGGGGTGGGGGCTCTGCCGTCTGCACCCTCTTCGGATTGCTGGTAGAACTTCACCGAGATGTAGGGCCCTTCGTATTTTGAGGGATAAGCCGTCTGCCGTGCGTCCCTTCGAGGAAGGACGCAGTCAGCGGATGTGACGCTTCTTCAGTTGGGGCTCCTCGAAGTCCT